TCATCTTAGTGTTATCATCTTGTACAATGCTGAACTATGGTTAGTTTACATAATACATAAATATAAATTTGTGTATTCACAGCACACCTTCATTCAATAGCTCAGATGCTACTGGCCATATTTTTGCAATAGTAGAGGAAGTTCACTCTTTTTCAATTCTGTTACATCATTTGTATAATCTTGTGGTTTACCTGAATATCTTTAAAACTGAATTTGTTGACATGTTTTAAGGCTTTTAATTGAGAGGAATTTATCTAATATTATGTAAAAGAACTTTTACTGGAACTGAGAAACAAAAGATATTGGCTGCTAAAGCAATAGTCTGACAACCAGAGCACCTTATTTAACTACAGACAAAACATTGTCAAATATATCATTTATTATTATGTTTTAAAAAAGATGTATCGTACATCATCCTTTTACATGTAACATTTTGAAGTTGGTCACCTACACCAAATACCCCTTCCCAGGTCAAAGGCAATTTAGGACACCTTGTTGGCAAATGCAGAGCAGGATGATGCGTGCTATAAATGTAATTACCGGTATGATTACAAATTGAGTTCTCTGTACATCAATCACAATTGATATTCATAATACGATTTTGTCTTATTTACATGTATAATGTTAATGGACATTTACATCAATGGAAACGATACCAGCTTTGCACGAGTTTACATTTAAAGGCAAAAAAAATGTTGACCACATGAGGGCGTACTTTTTATGATCACTTGCAAGTCTACCATTACTTGTAAGGTCTCATGCTACTAATCAACCAATGGCTGCTCAATTTAAATGCCTTGCAAGAACTGATGACATTTTTTAAATATTTTTTTTCTCAGTTGTTCCCTGTTACAGGGCGTAATCATCTGGGTCAAAGGTGAGACCACTATGTGGGTTTATTCTGTGTGTATTTGGATGTTCTAATCTTGGTGTTTTCTCTAGGTGAAATCCAAATACAGAGTAGGTGTGTCTTGTTTACCTGAGATTTGTAAGAGTTCCCACTGAATCAAAATTATTATGGATTCGTCTCGCCCTAATATCACAATTATATATAATTGACTTCAGAACACATTAATATCATTGAAAATTGCAGACGTCTTTCCTGTGCACTGCATGTTACTAGAAGATTTCTGCCTGAAAAATTGGACTGCAATGCAAAATATACCGGTATATAGAATCCTGCACTTTGTCTAGTTTTTCAAACCTCCTTTCCTTCTAGTACATGTACCTACACTCGATCAGAGGTGCACCAAATACAATGGTGGGATGTCCAAAATAATCTGTTGGTGTCCCATTTTGGGTCAATGGGTACTTGTGATATATAATCATGTTTTCTCGTAGAACACCCCATATTCATGGCTAATCTTAGGGATAATTGAGATGATTATTTAAAGTTGAATGTGACTCATCCGTCTATTTGACAGGGGGGGGGGGGTACAGTATACCAACAAACTCTGTACGCTTTCATTGTTGTGTTGATCATATTCAAGTTACGAACTTCATTTGAATCGATTTGAAGAAATTTTGCTTGAGTTGTCAACTATATGAATAAATATCCTGAAAAAAGGGATGCAATACGGACAAAAACATATATTTATAATTTTTTTAAAATTGTTTTTCAATACCGAATGGAACAATAATTTATCATAAACTAAAAAGTTGCGTGTGGGCAATGCAGTATTCGTCAGATGAAACATCTAACACGCCGCATTGTGTAGTATTCATAGCAATATTATAAATTACATATTCTTGTCTATATTGCATCTTTAAGGCATTTTGGTTCTTGTTTTGTTTTGTCACATCGCGTGTATAACCAAGCCTGCAATGAAATGCCTGTAATTAAGGTTATTTTTATATAGAGTGTCTTGAAAAACTGTGAACAGGGTGTGAATATACGTACTGTACGATAATTACTGAGGGGAGCTCCTTATCTCTATTTCGTGCCAGGCGTGTACTCATAATTTATAACAATGTATTATTTTTATTTTATTTTTTTATTAGACGCATAACATTCTTAGGAAAGGATAAAAAGGGTCTTACAGAAAGAAATTAAAAAACTACAATCTAAAAAGGAAAACAAAAAATAAAAACTTTTCTAAAAATATAAAACAAATCAAAAACAATAAAGACAATTTGCAGCCAATGGTGAATACAGAATATAGAATGAACACAAAATGTAACCTAATACACTGATAGTTGATAGTTTTG